GTTTGATTGGTGGTTGAGGCATCTGCCTTGTGCATGAGCCAACAGACCGGGGCATTCCAACCCGATGGTTGTGGGCCGAGAGTATTCCATCCCGAGAATGATTGGACTCGTAGTATGTGGGCATTCCAACTCGATGGTTGTGGGCCGAGGGTATACCATCCCGAGGATGATTGGACCCATAGTATGTTGGCATTCCAACCCGATGGTTGAGGGTCTGTGGCATTCTAACCCGATGGTTGATTGGGCCCATAGTATGTTGTTATTGTATTGTGCAGGTATTTTGAGGGAACTCACTAAGCTTCGGGCTTACAGTTGTTGATTTTGTTTCAGGTACTTCAGATGATCGCGGGAAGGCGAAAGCATGATCGTACACCTCCTCATATTTTAAGATGTTGATTTCTGGGATACTCTGATATGAAACTATTTTGAAAACACTTTGTAATAATTATTGGTTTTTGAATGGTTGAAAAAGTTTTAAATTGACTTGAATTTTATGGATGTTACAAAATTGTTTGATTGAGTCAAACTCAAGCTCTTTTCAGATTCACTAAAAGACATATAAAAAATCATATGACCCGATCAGAGGTTTTTAATTGTTTTTAATTGTGATATAAAAAAGTCTAAATTTGACCGAGTGAGATCCAACTTCTTACCAAACTCCTAAGTAAGAGGCAATTCAAACAACACATAAGCTAAATAATTTACTTTAAATCTATGCTTGCATTATCCACAATAATATTTTGATATTTAATAGTGAAAAGGATATGTATAAATTATTTCGTTGGTTAAAATAAAAATTAAATTTAAAATAAACACAATAATTTTTAATGATATAACTAGGTACTCTATACTTGGTCAATAAATATTTGATCGATCTAGTTAACTATTAAAGCGAGACCATGTAAATATATTTAAACAAAATCATTTTTATTCACTCATTATCTTTAAAAGAGAGAGTAATTATAACTAAAGATTCTATATTTGGGAAAACTAAAAAAAAAATGCTTACATATTAGTCTTATAATCGATTTAGTCTTTATATCTTTTTCTATTCAATTAAGTCCCAAAAACCGGTAATTGTATTCAATTTGACACTTTTACCCGGTCAACAGGTCATCCAACTTTCAAAAATTATACTTTTGGCCTAGATTTCAAATTTTATTACAAATTTGTTCTAAAATTTACATTTTTGACACATATTTTAAATTTATTACAATTTTTGTCCATTCAGAATTTTGTTATGAATTAATCCTAACTTTAGTTTTTCTTACAACTTTTTTCTCAAAATAAAATTTCGAATATGTTTTCTCTTTATAAAATCATATTTATACAAAATCAAATAAAAAATCTTATATTTTCTATATAAAAACTTTTTTAAATACTTTTTTGTAAACGAAATACCTATTGATAAAAATAGGTATTTATTAAGTACATAAATATATACAAATTCATTTTTGTAGAAAAAAAGTATACAAACACGTATTTTATAAGAAAAAATGTAAACAAATACCTATTTCATAGTAACATATATATATATATATATATATATATATATGCATACAAATAGGTGTGTATCTATATTTTTTTTATAAAATCGTGTTTATATACATTTTCTTTATAAAAACGTGTTTGAATACAAATGCATTTATTATAAAATAGGTATTTATAAAAATATATATAAATATGTTTTTACAAAAGAAATGTATACGTTTACTAGAAAATAAGTGTTTGTATACATTTTGTATAAATATGTTTTTGTATACAAATGTATTTATAATAAAATAGGTGTTTCTATACTTTTTTTTTTTTGTAAAATACATGTTTGTATACATTTTTTTATAGAAATGGATTTGTATATATTTATGTACTTAATAAATACCTATTTTTATAAATAGGTATTTCGTATACAAAAAAGTTTATTTTTTAAAAAGTTTTTATATAGAAAATACATGATTTTTTATGTAAAAATATGTTTTTTTGTATAAATATGATTTTGTAAAGAACAAACATATTTGAAAAAAAAATTTGAGGAAAAAAAGTTGTAAAAAAAACTAAAGTTAGGATGAATTCATAAAAAATTCTAAAATATGAGCCAAAAGGGTAAATTTTTGATCAAATTTATAATAAAATATAAAATATGGGACAAAAGGGTAAATTTTGAACCAAATTTGTAATAAATTTGAAATCTAGGCCAAAAATGTAATTTTTAAAAGTTAGATAACTTGTTGACCGGGTAAAATTGTCAAATTGAATACGATTATTAGTTTTTGGGACTTAATGGAATAAAAAAAATATAATGACTAAATCGATTATAAGACCAATATATAATGACTTTTTTGCAGTTTTCCCATTTTTTTAACCTAGTGAAAATATCAAAAAGATAGTATATTTTACAAAAATAAATAAGGAAAATCTCCATAAAGGTCCTAATATTTTAGTCTAGTTTATGCAAACGTCCTAAATTTTATTTTGTGAACAAAAAAAATCTTGATTACCAGATAAAAAAAATTCAAATCAACCATTTTTTACCGGTAAAATATTTTTTACCCGATTACCTCTACAAAAGTCTCATTAGTTGGTACAGTTATGAAAAAGTAATAATTTTTTTAATTCCAACTATTTTACCATGTCACTAAAATTATGGAAATTTCTTGGTTGAAATTATAAATATGAATAAACATCATTAAGTTCCATAAAACTAAGGATTAAAGACCTCTATAATCAATTATTTACCACAAAACAATGACGTTAACAACATTTTGAACTCATCATCATCCATATAATCAGTTTCTCATACAAATTTATGTTAAAAGTATTAAAAGATATTCAAATTATGTTTTGAACATCTTAGTATAATCTATCTAAAAGTGGGTTAAAAGAAAATCAATTGTTATGTTCATATAAAAAACCATTGATTGATGACAAACCAATAAATACAATAGTATGTTAGGTGAGGCTGTACGAATTATATAGAATAATATGAGTTTTATCCTTCTAAATCTTAAGCATATAAACACAATTCCTCCCTGGATCAATTATTTTACATGTCAATAAGTTTAAATTTTGGAGCTCCAAAACACCAAGATAACATTATGTTTTGGAGCTCTGAAATTTAAACTTATTAACATGTAAAGTAACTGATCCATGGAGGAATTGTGTTTATATGCTTAATATTTAGAAGGATAAAACTCATATTTTTTTCTATAATTCGTACAGCCTCACCTAACATACTATTGTATTTATTGGGTTGTCATCAGTCAATGGTTTCTTATATGAACATAACAGTTGGTTTTCCTCTAACCTACTTTTAGGTAGATTGTACTAAGGTGTTCAACATATAATTTGAGTATATTATAATACTTGTAACATAAATTTGTATGAAAAATGGATTATATGGACGATATGAGTTTAAAATGATGCTTACGTCAAATAATTGGTTATAGAGGACTTTAATCCTTAGTTTTAATATTGACGTTTATTCATATTCATAATTTCAACCAAAAAAATTTCTAGATTTTTAATGAGAGGGTAAAAGAGTTGAAGTAAAAAAAGGATTGAGACTTTTCATAAATTGGACCAAATAATGAGACTTTTCTGGAGGTAACCTAGCAAAAAATAGTTTACTGGTAAAAAATGGCTAATTTGATTTTTTTTATTCGGTAATCAGGACTTTTTGTCAACAAAATAATTTTTGGGATTTTTGTATAAACTGGACCAAAATATTGAAATTTTTCTGGAGATTTCATAATAAATAATTCTTAATTAAGATATGTAAATGCAAAAAGAATCTTTTATTGCACCAATGTTTTTTGTCCAAAAATTCCAAATCAAGATGAAATCACATACTCAAGACCCTCTTTTGTTTCTTTAATTGGCTATCATTTCTACTTTCTTTGTTGGTCTATTTCAAACGTGTCCATGTAAGTACAATACTCACCCATCTTGTATACACTCTTGCTTTTCTTTTCTATATTAGCTTTTCAAACCCTACATTCAAGACTCCAATAACATGTCTATCATGGGACATAGGATGTTAGCATTATAGAAATCGAAACATAAGTTTCTACACATGCTATCAAGTAACAAGATGCTTCCCCTTCTTTTTCGAGTGTTTCTTAGACATGTATATGGTTCACATGCAACTTGCTAGGGTCTTTAAGACATCTTTTCTAGTGATTGGACATAGAAAAAATAATTAGCAATGACTCCTAACAACTTTAGTAGAAAATAGTCATATTTTTGTATTTCTAAAGCTTAATGGAGAAACAAGCAAGCTTAAGTATGATCCTTGTGTCAAAAATTTAATTCTTTTATAAAACGTAATATCAAAATTGAAAAAAAAAACAAAAATTTAATGTTAAAATTGAAAAAATTGAAAATTTAGTATTATTTTTCTCATTTTTTTTTGAGTTTGACACGTTATTATGTCATATCAACGTCACATAAACAAACAATGTCATATCAGTAGTGACAACCTGATAACCGAATAATTGATCAATATTGCTAAAATTAGAAAAAATAACGTTTAAATTGCAATAATAATAATAATAATAATAAACTGTCAAAAGTCAGAAAAAAAAAATAGGATGATTTTGGTAGAATTGCAAAAGGAAAAAAAAATGATTATTTTATGATATAATCCAACTAATTGGAAAATTGAATAAGTAACGCATTAAATAATAACAATATTTGTTGTTTTATTAGTCAAATAGTTTAATTAACACCTTTTAGTTAATAAAATAAAATCATAAATTATATTCTTATAATGATCATCAAATTACGAATAAATAAAGTACAACAGATTAGTTCGTTTAGGAAAACAAAAAGCAAATTAACAAGGTTAATCGTCAAAATGTGTAATATATATATCAAATATTTAACATAATACATAAACTAACTACTATTTTACGTAAATTTTATATTAAAAAAATAAAAATAAAAATCCAAGCACATAGCTAGAATTGATCGGAGATGAGGAATATGAAGATTTCACCATGAATTCAGTATCCTCGTTGTTTCATAACAGAAGTGATCCCTCTTGAAATCTCATGAACACTGCCTCCGCCATTGTTATGGAACCCCAAGCAACCTAACAACCCAGATTTATACGGCAAGAACGTCTTCTTCCTCATCTCTTCCGCCACCGCTCTGTTCGCCGTGTAATGTATTTCATGCGCTGAAACCTTCCTCATCACCCTCCTACTCGAACCCAAACTCTCTGTACTTCTAAAGCTTGAATTCCTTACATCTTCACCTGCGTCGCCGCCGCCTTTCCTTATCCTCGAATATTTATTCACCGGGTCTTTGCTCCTCCTCGCACTTCCCTCCGACGTGCTTCGAAACAATAGCAGGTTTTTAAGGTTCCACTTATTGTACCACGTTAACGACGACGATTGATTTGTTGGGTTTCTCTGGTTGTGATGTTCTTCATCGGATAAAATATCGGAGATTCTAAACGGTGATGACGACGGTGATACTTTGTCTTTAATTTTGGTTTTTCTCGTCGATTCCCTTCCTCGTTTAGATGAGTTTTGACTGGTTTGCGTTTGTTCACCAGATGTTTGTGTTAATGCCTCAGTGAAAGCGTCAAAATCTTTCTTTTTACGGCGAGGGGAAAACGCTTGAGTGAAGCGTGAGGGTGGGGATTTAGGCGGGTCGTCGGAGACAGAAGGCTTTAATGGCTTGATCTTGCCGCAATGAAAGAGCTCGTCGGCGGCGGATATAGAAGGTGGTTCCAGTTCTCCGGTGAAATTGAATGCAAAATCCTTATCGTCATCATGATGATCTTCATCTTCCTGATGAAAGGAGATGGCGAGGGAGTGGATGGGGCTTGTGGGTGCGGTGTAGAAGAAATTGGGGAAGCGGTGTGGGGTAGAAGGTGCGGTGACGTACGGCGTAGTATTGGTGCTTTCGCAGCTGAAATCGACCGCCGGCGACGGTAGCATGAGTTGTATCTCCATGTGAAGATGGAAGCAGGGAAATGGAAGCTCAATATGAGCAAAGTCTACCGTTTTATATGTATTTTGAATCATAATACTGCTTATTTCTTTCTAATATCAATTAAATTAATTTTTTATTTATTGAATCCTCCCTAATTACATGTTATATCCTATAATTACTTATTTTACCCGGTTATTGAATTTTCTAAAGTGTCATTCTTAAATCATATGGTAAAATAAAGGATACTAAAAGAATAACCATTTAAAATCTTGAAATCGAAGAAAAATCCTAAATTTTATTTTTGTTATAACAAAATAACCATATCTAAAATGAAATTTTTTGAACTAACTTTATGTCATATCAAAATTCTCACTGCATAATTAAATTTTTAAATTTCAAAATAAGTTTGAAATCTTAATCTCCAGAAAATGTTTGGATTTTTATTATAACCTAACAAAAAAGATAAAGAATTGTATTAAAATAGAATTATATACGAAATAAAAGCTTAAAATATGACATTTAATTGAAAATCGATGATATTATATATTTGAGTTATTGTCATTGTAGTCCAACGCAGTAACAAATTTTGTTTTAAAAGATCCATTGTGTTATTGTTGTTGTTATTGTTGTTATTATTATTATTATTATCATTATTATTATTATTATTATTATTATTTTGCATCATAAGGGCATAAACTTCTGTTTAATGGTTTTAATAGGTACCTTATAAAAAATGAAGGGGTCATTCGGTGAACCCCTTCCTAATCAGTAGTATAAATGGCTCGTCACTTAATGAGACTTGCCGTGTCATCTACCATGCATTAGTTTGAGACATTAAATGACCAAATTTCTTCCCTTTCTTTATGTCTCGTATCCAATGACACTGTGCCTCACAAACCATTCTCTTATTCTTCACTCTCAAGGGATCATCTGGTTTCGTTGTAATGAAGTTTACATGAAGTTTGTGGCTTTTCTGGAATGGACAAGAACAAGTTTGTGGCTTTTCTGGAAAGATACACTCAGGAGAAATGTAAAAAGGTGTATTATTGTTAGTTGGATATTGATTTTCCTGGGGGGCTGACGATAATAGCTACATGAAATGATTATATGGAATTCATCGAAATAGGATATGCTTGTGATGTTGTACTCCCTATGTACATAGATCATCTTACTGTGAATATACAGGACTGGCTTATTGATAATAAAGTTGTAGTATACGGTGTTGATGACAACCATTCATGTGCATGGGATTTTTTTGATGATTAGCAAGGAGGTAAGGATGTTGGCTTTGACCTATATGATTTGAAAGGAGATATGGATGTTGACATTGACCTAGATGATTGAATTCCTATGAACAAGACTTGTAATGATATTTTCCTGAGTAAGCTTTGCCCATGGTGAATCTAGCCCCAGATAGTACACCTCATGGAGCCATATTTTAAGATGGATTACAATGAGGAAAAAGTTGATGGGAAGCCAACCTATAATGAAAATATTCACTAGAAGAAACAGAAGCCTATACTAGGTATGAGATTTGAAAGTCCTAAATAATTAAAACATATAGTGCGTAATTATGATGTTGCTAATGATTACCAGTTATGTTACAAAAAAATGATAGTAGTAGACTTTTGGTTAAATGTTGTTATGGGAAATGCAAGTATAGATTATGGGCTTTATGGATGAGTGAAGCAGACTCTTTCGAGATTAATACTCTCAAAGATGATCATAATTGTGTAAGGAATTTCAAATTGGGGCCAATTTTTGGCTATGCTTGGATTAGAAGACAGTACACTACATAAATCTTAAACAAATAAAAATTAAGTGTTAGGTAAGTTAGGGAAGAGGTTATAAAGAAATTTAGTATAAAAGTGAGTATATGATAACGTAGGAGAGCAAATAAATATCCAATTCAACGAACTGAAGGTATACTTGTGGATCACTATGCAAAACTTTGGTCTTATAGTGAGAAGATTAGAAGATTAAATCTTGGGTCAACAGTCAAAATGGATGTCAATTATATGCTTGATAGTAAGAACTATTTTAGCACGTTGTACATTTGTTTTGAAGGAATCAAGCAAGGTTGGATAGGAGGTTGTAGAAGAGTCATTATCTAGATGGATGTTTCTTAAAAGGTTTATGAAGTGGAGAGTTAATATATATTGTAGGAAGGAATACTAATAATTAGATTTTCCTAGTTACATGGGCAATTGTGTATGTAGAAAACAAAGGGAATTAGAAATGGTTTTTGGAAAATCTAAAAGATGATTTGAGTCTGGAAAATAGTTTTGGTCTTACCTTGATGTTAGATCAACATAAGGTATGTAACACACTATCCCTTATCATTTTCATTTTGCAATATTTATCATGTATATTAACATTTTACATTTTTGTATAGGGTCTATTGGAGATAGTTAAAGAGTTGGTGACTAATGTTGAATATAGGCAGTATGCATGGAATATTTATGCCGACTTTAGGAAATGATTAACTCGTGCACACTTTGACCAGATGTTTTGGAAGGTTAGAAAGGAATCAACTGAACCTCTTTTTAATGCATCAGTGAAGGATATGCAGCATTTGCATACCTTATGGAAAAGAACCCAAAGGCATGGTCTAGAGCATTATTTGAAACATATATGATGTGTGATGTTGTTGAAAGTGGGTTATCTAAGAGCTTTAATGGTGTGATTAGGGATGCAAGAAAAAATCTAATCACCACAATGTTGGAAGAAATTAGAATGTATGTTATGGAGAGGATCTTCAACTTGAACATTAAAGGTAGTACATGGCTTGACTCCAAATCATGTGCAACCATTACACTCCTATTAAATTAGTTGCAAAAAGAATTATGGTAGCTTATATTTCCTTACTTATATGTCCTTATTGCTAAATGGGTATGCTAACTTTTTTACATGGTCCAGTAAGCACTAGAAAGTATTACCAAGTGTTCTAAACTAATTTGAAACAATGAAATTAGAAGATTCATATGTTGTTGACTTAGATAATAAAACTAGTACTTGTATTGTGGCAGCTAAATGGTTATGGTTGTCTTCATTCAGTGGCAACTATCTTATATATTAATCACAATGTTGATCTTTATGTGGATCCAGTGTACTTTGTAGCCTTTTATATAATCAATTACAATTATCCATTGCATGGGATGGGATGAATGGTAGTAATATGTGGCCAAGTAATGATTACATACCCTCTTTTCTACCATTAAAGTGAAGAATACTAGGCAGGCCAATAGTCAACAGGAGGAGAGATTCATCTGAAAGAACTAGAAGACACTCTATGTCTAAGGTAAGAAAAAGAATATAATGTAGTGTTCGTAAACAAGTGGGACATAATATGGTAATTTTTCCACAATTGGAAAAACCTACCAAACTTATAATGAAGTAAAATCCAAAGGTAAGTAAGGAGTCACAACAACAAGAAAGCAATGAGGCACAATAAAGAGAAAACAATGAGGTTAAGAGTAAGAAACAAAGGGTTGGAACTTGGATCAGGAAGAGATCAGTAAGGATTATGAAAAAGAACCTAGATAAGAAGGTTGAGGGTAAGAATGGAAAAGGAAACAATGTTGCAACACTTATGGATTTAGATTAAGATTTTTCATTAAAGTGTTGTCCTTGGAATACAATTTAAATTCATTTTGTGTTTTAATGTCTTGTTATTGTAATAATGGATTATCGTTGTTCGGTTTGGATTAGTGTTGTAGTTGAAGGGTTTTGAGCATTCTAACACTCCTATGGTGTACATACAACCCTATAAACCTTGGATCTATGTTTTCTCTAAAATACATGCAAATAAGAATGTCCAAGGTTTACATCCTAACTAGCATGGCATGGGGAACTTGAATCATAAAATTACTAGTAGAATGACATACCTTATAATAGTGGTTGATTGCTTGGAGTTTGAGAGCCTAGCACCAATAGTGTGGATGCCTCAAATGGAAATCACAAAT